ATTTTCATGTAAATATTTTACATTTAACAAATTTCAACTACTATGCTTCATAATCTAACTCCAGTTAAGATAGTTGTAGGTTTGGGAATAAACATGGACAATGAAATTATTTGATTTAATTTCTGTAGCAGTTACCTAATATATCCATGCTGAAAACCTTTCAACATTCATACTTTCAATATTAATATATTTGATTGCCATCAGAGACGGAGAACTGCTAATAAGAAGTCAGCTTGTTTTAAGTTTTTATATGAGGTTATTATGCGCCTGCCTAGGGGAGGGGGCAGTAAGTGTTACCCTTGTCCGTCCCTTCCGTACGTCCTCAAAATTGGTTTCCGTTCTCTAACTTTAGTTTGCCTCAACCAAATGTTATAAAACTTATACACAATGCTTATTACCGCAGAACACAGATCAAGTTAGAAATTGGGTGGTGTCACTTTTACTATCCATGAGTAAATATGCCCCTTTATAAACATAGAAATTGCTGAATTTTTAGTTTCTATTCTCTAACTTTAGTTTGCTTCAACCAAATGTTATAAAACTTATACACAATGCTTATTACCACAAAACACAGATCAAATTCCAAATTGGGTGGCATAACTTTTACCGTTCATGAGTTTTGCCCCTTTATAAACATAAAAATTGCTGAATTTTTCATTTCCGCTCTCTTACTTTAATTTGCCTCAACCAAATGTTATGAAACTTATATACAATATAAAATTGAGAATGGAAATGGGGAATGTGTCAAAGAGACAACAACCCGACCATAGAGCAGACAACAGCCGAAGGCCACCAATGGGTCTTCAATGCAGTGAGAAATTCCCGCACCCGGAGGCGTCCTTCAGCTGGCCCCTAAACAAATATGTATACTAGTTCAGTGATAATGGACGTCATACTAAACTCCAAATTATACATAAGAAACTAAAACTAAAAATGATACAAGACTAACAAAGGCCAGAGGCTCCTGACTTGGGACAGGCGCAAAAATGCGGCGGGGTTAAACATGTTTTTTGAGATCTCAACCCTCCCCCTATACCTCTAGCCAATGTAGAAAAAACAAATGTACAACAGTACGCACAGTAAAACTCAGTTTAAGAGAAGTCCGAGTCCAATGTCAGAATAGGAAACAAAAGGAAATAAACAAAATGACAATAATAAATAACAACAGACTACTAGCAGTTACTGACATGCCAGCTCCAGACCTCAATTAAACTGATTGAAAGATTATGTCTTCATCATATGAATATCAGGCACAATCCCTCCTGTTAGGGGTTTAGTATTGTACCATCATAAAATATATGAGAAGAACATAACCCTTGTCATGTTAACAACTGGTTTTAGAATAAATATGTTTAATTCCGATGCAAAGACCCTATAAGTGAATCAATATTAAAGCCAAAATATGCAATCTATAATGACCTGACAACAGTATCGTAACTATATCCCTTCTTAATAAGTCTGTTTAAAGGTTATGTTAGCTTTTGAGGTGAATACTGACATTTTTGTGCTTTGTAAAGAATATTACCATAAAAGATTGGATGTGAAATACCCAAACGTATAAGATGTCTGCATGTTGAGTTATATTTACTAATGATGTCCTTATACCAATGATAAAATTTAGTAAATGTTTTGACTTAAGTTTATGATATCGAAAACCCTGGTGTAATAATTTTTCAGTAATACATAAATTTCTCTTGCTAAAATCTAATACGTTGTTACATACACGAGCGAATCGTACAAGTTGAGATATATAAACACCATAAGATGGTGACAAGGGGAAGTCACCATCTAAAAATGGATAATTAACGATAGGAAATGAAAAATCATCTCTTTTATCATAAATTTTTGTATTAAGCTTCCCGTTAATGATATAGATATCAAGATCGAGGAAAGGACAGTGGTGATTGTTAGTATTAGCTTTATTTAAAGTAAGTTCAACAGGATAAATTTCTTTAGTATACATACTGAAGTCGTCATTATTGAGGGCAAATATATCATCCAAATATCTTACAATGCTTATTACCACAAAACACAGATCAAGTTTGTAATTGGATGGCTTGACTTTTACCGTTCATGAGTTATGCCCCTTTATAAACATAAAATTGCTGAATTTTTCGTTTCCGTTCTCTAATTTTAGTTTGCCTAACAGTGCTTGTTCAAAAATGGCATAAAAAGTATTAGGGTAGGCACTAAAAATTAGGGTAGGTAGGGTTAGCGGAAACACATGTATTATTTTTTTTGGCACCACAAAACACAGATCAAGTTTGAAATTGGGTGGCATCACTTTTACCGTTCTTACCGTTCTTGAGTTATGCCCCTTAATAAATTGAAAATTGCTAGATCTGTTTTTTCCGTTCTCTAACTTTATAAGTTTGCCTCAACCAAATGTTATGAAACTTATACACAATGCTTATAATCACAAAACGGTCTTAACTACATGAATCTTGCATTTGTATGTGGAAGTTGACTCATGCATATTAACAAGTGGGGGCATCTGTGGCCCAAAGACACATTCTCCATTTATTTTTTCATTGTATTATTTTTTTCTTCCAGGAAATATTTGATTACATGTGTACATTTCTTGTTCATAAAATTATGCAGTTTTGATAATAATAAGATTGCATTTCTTTCAAGCCAAGTTGTCTTTAAATTAACCATAGATGGTGTTTGCTGTTCTATTTAGGTCCATATAGTTTAATGCTTTTACCTTAAGTTTGATAGCTTTTATTCCAAACTTTTGGTACCCACCGTTACAAACTTTTCATTAATAGCTCCTCGGGATTCTGATCCCTCATTGGATTTCGGATCGTGATGCCCAGTATGTAATAAGTTACTTTAAAAGGTATGAAGAAACCACAAACAAACAAAAGTTTAAATGGTGGTCGAGTTATTAAAACTGTGCATCAATCAGTAAAAGTTTTGGAAACTTGAACCATACAATGTGTAATTCTATTCAAATATGATGCTTATCTTACAATTTATCCACCCTTGTATTCACAATTAAATGTTATTGTGTACATACACATATCAGATCAAGGATTTGTATACTCTACAAATCTTTGATAAGATACACCCATGAGAGGGTTAGCCTATTTGGGTGTATCTAATTTATACCAAGATATTATCATGGTTATTTCAAAATGATAGATTTCTAAAGTTTAGGAGGGTGGTATTTCAGCAATTTAACTTTGTTATGGTAAAGCATGACAATTGCAGGATATCCAATTACATTTAATGACATCTTCATTATTCTTGGTGTAAATATATTTACAAAATTTAAATTATATTTTATACACTGTCATGTTTGAATTGGGCTATCAGGAAAATAAAAGTAAATTCCACAATAATATAAAGTTAATACCTATTGATACTGATAAGAGTGAAAATATCATAAAAATTCTGTATGCATGAATGAAAATCATTATATCAATGAATGTAGTTTAAATGGTTGTATTTACTTGTAAACCTACAGCTTGTATACCTAAGGGGTATACCTTTATTCTTATGTACTATCAAAGAGAAAATTGATAGGTCAAAGGTGTTTAATTGAACTTTTTGTTAGACAGTTATTAAGGTATTGGCAATTTATTGCCATGATAGTTGATGTAATTAAGCAATGGTTTGTTTTTTAAATGATAACAGACAGCTTCTAGTGTCACACTAAGAGACATTAAGCTATTATCTTACAGGTGTAACATAAGGAAACTTTCAAGGTTTTAAGTGATCAAGTTTGTGTATTTTTTTTCAATTCATGGTTTCACACACAGACTTAGATTATATTTTGAATAATAAATTGATTGTTTGAAAACATTTTAGAATTTATTTACTAATTGTATTATACTGCTGTGAAGAAATCAGTTTTTAGTTTACACACTGTATCTAGTGTAAATAGATTGTAAATTTATATTTGATACATTAGCTACCATTATTAAATGTGTTTTTAACTAACAGGTAAAGTATTCAACCTCAAGTGTATTATTCATGAAGGAAACTAACTCTATCAGGTACAAAAAGATGTATTTAGTTCAAATGGGAAGGGAAACTTTTATGTTTAATTTTATATAATATTTGATATTGTTATGTTAAGGATATAATGTTCTCATCTTACTAGCGTTTGTACAAACATTGCAACGAACTTCAAAATAGTTATTCAGCTGATAATTGAAAAGTCTATATTTCATTTACCGGTAGGTTTACTTATTGTGTTTCGATGATTTTTTTATTAGTATATTAAGAATTGTAAGATTAACAGCAATATAAGAATCTTTCCCATATCTTGTCTTTGGTTGGTGTCTGCCTTAATTGTTTTTGTTTATTGCTTTTAGCATCAATCAGATCCTTGGCTTTCTCTTTTTGAATTGTTTTTCATTTTGTTATCTTGGGGCCTTACATAGTTTTCTATACTGTATGAGTTTTGCTTAGTATTAAAGGCTTTGTGATTAGCTGGAGTTGTTCACAACCTTGTCCATTGGTCTTTTATTAATAGTTGTTTTATTGGAAATTACCTTATACCTCATCTCCTTATTTAGGTTGTGGGTTTGATCTGAGGCTTTGTCAAACCAAAGACATTAAAATTGGTATTTGCTGCTTCTTCGCTGAGCATGCAGAATTTAGGAGTAAGAACAAAGACTGATCAGCCCAGAGTTAGGATAATGGTCTAGGTAGGGTGACATGTCTTCCTGAAGACGGCTACCTTGTGAAAAAGCACATTTAACATGTCGGAAATCCAGCTCAGTGTGTCGGTCTAGAACAAAGCAGAGTTTATATTCATATCACATCAACATGCTCACATCATGAATACGCATTTGATTTGCCACTGGACGTTATACAAATATCCATCCATCCATCTTATTTACATACAGATTTGTGGCTAAATTTTCCAGCTCCCAGGTATTAATGAAAAGCTTCTGTCTTGAAGTGACCAATACTAGTATTTTACAAAGAGTTTTCCTAATCATTTTACTTTCAAGAATGTAATTTACGAAAATTTCTATTTTCAGAGTTTAATTCATATAAAGTCATAAATGTGACCAGTAAGGCTACATATTTCCATTAATAACATTCTACACAGACAAGATGTCGGTGAGAGATGGTGTATTTACCCCTAGCCCTACGCCTCCAGCACATCCTAGGATCAGACCAGAGGCGTCAGAATATGCCCGAAAAAATAAAACCGGTTCTGAAGACTGGTATCATCATAACAATAGATATGAACAACCAAGAGCACAAGAACGAATAGTCTCAAATGAGGCTAGGAGTAATTTTGAAAAAAACAAAGGACATATGGATACTATTTTTACTTATGGTAATGGATCATCACAGATTGAAAATGGAACTAACGACATTCCAGTTCATGTCAGAAATGGTGGTAACTCTGAAGCAGAACAAAATGCATTAAAAGGGAGGGGGAGAATAGATCAGTTTTTTGATCAGGAAAATAATAGGAATTATTCTTCTCCACGTCCACAAGGAAGAGCTGTCACAGGAGATAGTGAGAAATTTGCCGAAATAAACAAAGGTTGTATGTCAGAATTCATGCAGGGTTATGCTGATCCTCCTGTAGAAAGAAAAGTTCATCCTCGTGGTGTAAAGGGTGAGGCTTCCGAAACTGCTGAAAATAATAAAGGTGGTGCTATGAGAAACTTGATAGAAAACTATGGTAACTTGAATGTCAATGATCAGCCTCAACCAAAGGTTAAAGGTTATGAAGCAGAGGAAAATGCTGAGAGGAATAAGGGATCTGTGAATAAAATCTTAAACACTTATATTTTAACACCTGGTACCCCTCCAGCACCAAAGGTGTATTATGAGGGACAGGCAATTCAGGAAAAATATCAGGGTAAAGGCATGGGACCAATGATCAGACAGGAAGGTGAAAGGTCAGTGAGGGAGCCAAAAATCAGCAAATTACATCAGCGATCAGAAGGTCCAGGGTGAGTTGGATTTTTTTGGGTGTTTTTTTTAGACAGGGATTGGTTCATTTACATTGGAAAGTAATTAAATACTTTCAATTACTTTTACAAAACTTTTTATTACATTACATTTTCAATTACACTGATTTTTGTCTCGCTTTGACGGAGTCAAAAAGCAAGACATAGGTATGCTGTTTCCGGCGGCGGCAGGGTCAACAATGTATTAGTTTGTGATTAGGTCTAGTTCATCTTGAACCACTAGTGGTAGGTCAGTGATATTTGGTCTGCAGTTGTATTAGCATTGGCACATCTCATTACCATGGAGATTGTTTGGCCCCGCCCCCTCAGTCAAGGTCTATTGACTTTGAAACGTTGCTTAGTTTACATGTATTAGTTTGTGATTAGGTCAGTTTATGGGGAACCACTAGTGGTAGGTCAATGATATTTGGTATGCAGTTGTATTAGCATTGGCACATCTCATTACCATGGAAATTATTTGGCCCCGCCCCCTCAGTCAAGGTCTATTGACTTTGAAACTTTGCTTAGTTTTCATGTATTAGTTTGTGATTAGGTCAGTTTATGGGGAACCACTAGTGGTAGGTTAATGATAATTGGTATGCAGTTGTATAAGCATTAGCACATCTCATTTCCATGGAGAATATTTGGTCCTTACCCCTCAGTCATGGTCTATTGACTTTGAAACTTTTACTTAGTTTACATGTATTAGTTTGTGATTAGGTCAGTTTAAGATGAACCACTAATGTTAAGTCAATGATATTCGGTATGCAAATGTATTGGCATTTGCAAGTTTCATTTCCATGGATTATATAGTCCCCACCCCTCATCATGGTTCATTGACTTTGAAACTTTTACATGTTTGTGTTTAGGTTTGTTGAAAGGGAACGACTTATGATAAGTCAATGGTATTTGGTATGCAGTTGTATTAGCATTGACACATCTCATTTCCATGGAGATTGTTTAGCCCTGTACCTTCAGTCATGGTTCATTGACTTTGAATATTTGCATAACTTACATGTAAAGTATTGCTATTTTAATTTCAACATATGCATTATCAAAATAACAAATAGGCGAGACATATCTCTGTGTTAACAGTTTATTTTTTATGTACTTTAACATGTTTAATATAAGTAATCAAGTTACACAATGCAACAGCAATTTTATAATGTTTGTATATATATCATTTTGTTATTTTGTATTTAAAAGTACACATTTTAACTGTTAAAAAATTGGAAATGTAAAAGAGTTTCCAACACATCAAGACAATTTTATTATCTACAAAGATTAGAAATTGAAAGTCACAAATTAGATTTATTGATTGTCAGATTTATTGTTATTTGGTATTGTCCAGTTGTAAATATGCCATGCATATTCAGGACAAGAACATTATACATCTAATAAGTAAGTTCTGGAAAGTGGATCACAGGGATGTAGGGTTTGAAATTTAAAGTGTATTTCTGGTACATAAAAAGAGATAACAAGAATTACATAAAATAATGCACAGTACAACAGACCACATTAACCTCCAACAACCAACTCCTCTGAAATTAAACAGAGACTAACAACACATTGCTCAGATACCCTGACTTTGTATAGACACAACATGTGGAGGGGTTAAACCAGTTTTATTTGCACCCCCCCCCCTTTCCTTTTTGCTTATCAAGACCATATGTAAAAAACTAAATCACAGAATAAATACCTCCACAGTGCATGTTGGATAATATTCATGTTATAATTTATTTGTTTAAAAAAATAAAAATAGTTATTTGATTTATTGAAACTTTATGAAATGCAATACGTTTATTTCTATAATGTTCTGACAGTGAGTCAGACAGCAACCAGCCACTAGACAAGTAAATTGACTTTTAATCAGCTTTTGACAATGGACAAACTAATGGTTTCTGTACAGACTTAAGCAATTACCGGTAACAAACATATAACAGTTACTTTACAGCCTCCAATAATCAATTAAACATCCAAATGTTACTTAATAATTGTAAATAGTATTTATCCTTTTAAGACAATGCAAGAATTCAAAAGCTACTAAACAACCAATTAATTTATTTAAAAGGTTACTAGATACAAGCTTCAACAACTAACCACAACACATCAACCAAACATCCAATGGTTATTGTACAGCTTTCAACAATTAACCAAACACCAAAGTTTAATACTGTGCAGTCCCATTAAGCAACTTAAGATCTATGGTTAAGTCTGTACAATCAGCAAAACATCTAAAGGGTTCTGTACAGCCTTTGACATCAACCCAATATTCAAGTGTTAGTAGTTGCTCAAGTAACTGTAGACTTCAACATTAACTTATCTAAGAGTTTCTAATGCAGCCTTCAACCAACAATCAACACATTCAAATTTGTTTATTTACATTTTGTACAGTGAACTGTAGGAGACTTTTTGTAGTTATGACAACTATCTATCTTTTTGCCCTTATTAAAACATGAAAAAGAGGGATCAGTTAATGATCAATATATACACAATTTCAATGGATCTTTTTATGACACTATGTCAATGATATTGCATTTACAGTTGGGATGAGGATCCACCAGCAGTAAGGATGAGACCAGAGGCTGAACAGATTGCTGCTAAATATAATGAAACACAGCTCGATAAAGTTGTCAGAGGAGAGGTGGCTCCACCTACAGTCAGAGATACTAAGGTCCCAAGACATCTGAAGGAAGCAGAGACTCCGTAAGTAATCTTGGTATAATATTTAATGTTCCCAACATTTCCTGTAGAGGGATTTTTCTTTTATAGCTTTTTCATCTATGGCGAGTATGCATTGCATTCAATGTTATATTGAATAACAATTACCAATCACATGTACTGGTAATCAAGTGATGTGTTAAGGATGTCAACAATATTTGATATGTGGATAGATTTTGAGGAAGATCTGTCCATATGGTATTTGAGTCATGTTAGCTATTACCAACACGTGGCATCCATCTTCATTGTTCAAACTTTTAAAAATCATCTTCCCTAGAAAATACTGTGCCAATTTGCACGAAAAACTTGGCCACCATCATCCTTAGGGCACTTGTTAAAATTATTGATTATGCCCTTCCATTACTGACCGACTGATGTTGACACACATTTAGCTCATTTTCCTGTAAAAATTGCTTATCTTTCTAAAGAAAGGTAGTAATACAACTATATATCCAACAGTGCTAAGTCAAGTTTTTTCCACCACCATACTCAATTAAAAGACTTAAAAATGATTGAAATTATGCACACAACTGTTCCCATTTTTCTACCTAAGATTTTGATCACTGTGATTAAAATGCATCTCCTCTGAAACCTTTTCAATTGGGTGCATTTTGAATATAAAATATTTAAAATTTTTGATAGAATTTTTTCCACGTCACATTTGCCTGCACTCTTGAATAACCTTCCTTAGGTAGGTTCAAGACCAAAAGCGTAGAAGCCCAAATTAAATGCAGCTAATTTAACCATTTCTGTTTGTTAAGAACCCTCCAAAATATCCTGATTTACACTATATGATTTTAAGCTGCTCAGGTACACTTTTTATGGAACTTCAATTCAAAATGTGATTCATTTTCATATATTATTACACAAATTACTGGTAACTTTGTACTTAACGATTTACGTTTTTTTTTTAAATTTCAGAAGACCACAGACATCACCATTAAGGACACGACCAGAAGCTATGGCTAACTATCAAAAACACAGAAGCTCGGAAATGGGGGCCATTTTAAGAATGGAATCAACGTCAGTAAACACACCAAGAAAGTATAACAGGAACATGCGTTCAGAGGACTGGTAAAGCTGATGGGTCTAGTCACAGTTCATATACTCAGACAGCTTAAGTTTGAAGTGCTTGCTTAAGATATGTTCAAATAGACATCTGATTTTATGTATAATTGTACATTTAGTTTTGATTTATTTTTACCACTGATGAACTATAAGAGAATTCAGTAAGCAGTTTTATTTGTATATTGTAGTCTTTTCACTTAAAATAAATTTTTTGAAATTGCTATAAAAAATGTTAATTTTCAAATTACAACTGCAGAAGTTATTCAGTTTCTTTGAAAATTTGTATGAGTTTTAATTATAAAAAAATAGCTTATTGACATATTGAACAACTTTTCACTTTTTTTTCTTACCGGTTGAATCAATGATATAAATGGATGATTAAGCATTCAAAAGTAAATGAACAGCAAAAGATGTATGAATTATTTGATTTATTATATATTTATAGATAAGTTTGCATTTTTTTAATATCAAAATGGAAGAGAATGCATAGTCCCTAAATATCTTTGATGAGTTTTATAGGTATACCTCTATGTTTTTCTATATAATCCCTCCACAGCCTATATCCAGTCAGCACTTTCAAAGACTTTTGATGAGTTTTATAGATGTACCTCTATGTTTTTCTATATAATCCCTCCACAGCCTATTGCCAGTCAGCACTTTCAAAGATTTTTTTACCCTGTTAAATTGAATTGTAATCATATTTCACAAACTTTTCATTATTAATTTGCATTGGAAAAAATGACATCATTGAATATTTGCATTGTAAGGACTTTTTCACTGAAATTTCAAAATCAGGAAATCTATACTCAAATATAATCTTATAACTGTATGTCTCTGTCATAGTATTCATCTTAGTCTGTTTTCAAATTATTAATTTACTTACCAAATTATAAATTTACTTACCAGGAGCAATGTTCAAAATAAAAAAGAAAAAATCAAGTTGAAAAGTGACATTTTATTGAACTGCAACATGTCAAATGTAGAGTAAAGGTCTGTCATCATCTTCCTCAACTGTGAATACTATGCCTTCTTATACATCACGTGCCTGTATATGTACCTATTATTTTTGGCTAAGTGGTGTATGTTGAAAGTTGTCTTGTTGGATATAATAAAACACTTAATGACTGGTTATTATTAGGGTTATAGCAAGTTTGCTGACCTTTGGAAATCAACTTTTGCCCTGGTCTGCATCAAGTTTCAGGGACAATGAAATTGCCATTACCCTCATAACAGTCAATAAGTGTATAATATTAAATTGCAAATGTCTGCCTTAATATTTTTTTTCAATTTTGGATATCTATCCTCAGTGGTATATGTATTTAAAATGAATCTGTTGTAATTTGTTTGGAATGGTTTTTGCATTATTAGTTAACCTGGTTTTCAAATCATGATTTACTGATTTGAAAGTATTAAATGAAAGGCTATACATTATGATATTTCAAATTATAATATATAAGGGATTTTTCTTATGACATGTCATTTCCACAAAAAGAATTATAGTAAATGAACTATGGTTAGTGACAAATGGTTAAGAATCCAAACTCTTACTCGTTTACATTAAACCTCAGAATTTTCCAAATCAATGTTTTTAAAATCATCATATTCTTCAATGTTTGACTTATATATTTTAGAAATAATATATATTTTTTTTATAAAAATGATTTTAAGCTTTAATCCCACCAGAAATTTGTGAACTATAAGTAAGAGATATTATCTGTTTACAATTGTTACTAGAAAACCCCACCATTTTATTTATATTTATAAGTACATAGCCAATATATACATGATATATTATAAATGTAACAAAGCTTGTCATCTCTGTATGAAGTCTAGTTAATAATTTGCCCCAGTGTTGGGGATATATGCACTGCATGCAATTGATAATATTGTTGTGCAAAATGCATTATAAAATTGTATCACTTGTTTATCGAGTCACAACTGTTAATTATTGTTGTTTTGAGTACGGACCTGGTCTAAGGATTTTTTATTTATTAATCAATGTATATTATGTTCCTAGTTGGGTCTTTTTTTTTCTTTTCTCACAATTGTAACACGATTAAGAAGCTTATCAAACATACAAATTGTGTTGAATGATGTTTTCTGAAATTTATAAGACTCTAAACAAACATATTTTAAATGACTATAAACAGACTGATATGAATATATTTATGTTTAATGATCTCTGGGCACTGTGTGATTATTTTGGAAACAGTCACCCAACTAAAAAAAAATATGCTTAAACACATAATAAAGCTTTGAGTTTGAAAAAAAAGCATGGTTGGCCCTGACAGTGTTGGAGAAAAGTCCAGTCAAATGATAGAAATTTAAAAAAAAATAATGATTATAATATGTACTTACTTTTAATTGTGTTGTATAATTTTTAAGAATTGAATGTATTTATTTGAAGTTTAATTCATTTGTAAAAACTGCTGTCCATTATTTTTTGTTGAGTATAAACCACTTGCCTGCCTTTATCAAAAATGTGATATGATCACTGTTTGTATGCACATTTTAAGTATGTTCAATACATCATACATTGTTAGTGCCTGTACACTCTAATTAATGAACAAAAAATGCATCCACATTATTTGGTCTCCGTTGGATAGTTGTCTCAATGGCTATCATACTATATCTTATTTCTATATTCATGTCTTAAATGAATTAATGTGATTTTATAAGATAATTATATAAATTACTCAAAAATGATAAAAAGTTGAATAATATATTCAATAATTAATTACAACTAGTGCTCACTATTAATTGTAAATTCCGCTAAAAAGGTTAAAACATCAGAAATGCTATAAAAAAGCTACCATCAAGTCATCTATGTATGAGTGCAATGGTGATATGAACAGTCCTATAGGCTTGGAATGACTTCAGCTAATATTCCAATATTACCTCTCTCTCCACTTTTTATATCATAGAGATTATAGTATGTTCTCTCCTATTGTGACTTAAAATTTATTCTGGATTCATGCTTATTTTACTGAATATGTTAATGTTTGGTTTGAAAAGAGCTGATTTTTTGTAAACAAATTTATTTTCAAAAGGCTGATGTAAATGAAAGATAAATTTGACAATTTTTGCTTTGATTAAAAATTTACTGTCTTACCATTTTAAGTGAATTTACTTTTGGTAGTAATTTAAGATTCAATATACCAACACTGTTCTTATACATATTTCAAGCCTGTAGAATGGTAAGTATGTGATATTTTTTCAATGCACTATTTACATTGATGACTTGTTTGTATCTCTCTCAAAGTAGTTTGTTTTAATGTTTTACCTATGGAACAGTTTGCTTGGATGATAAAAATTGTAATTTGATATAATTTTATACAGACTGTAAATAGAAGAGTAAAACACATACAATTAAGTCACAACAATTTTGTTTAGTGTAACCAATATTTTATTTTGAAAATAATAACGTAAACATTACAAAATGACAATTTTATTGGGATTGGAAAACAAGTGAATTTTCACTTTTACAAATTCCTCTCCCATATAATATAATAGTAGATGGATGGCATCAAAAATATTTGTTTAACTGAATAAGAAGCATTTGTTGACCAAATTCACAACTGAACTACAGTGCTATCAAACTACATAGGTGTAAATATAAATATAAATTAACGACAATTTAATTTATACATAATTATATATCTCAATACATGTATATGAAATTCACACGAATCTCTTTGTTTTAAGAATAAAATCTTGAATAATGAGAAAGTTATCAGAATTCTCAATGTCGGACATCAAAGGATTACCATACAGTAAGTTATGTATATTAGGCTGACATGACAAGTTACTCAGCATAAACTCTCTAAGTAATTGGTATTGCGGACAACGCAATAAAAAGTGTTCAGATGTTTCAATCTGTCTACATTTGCAAAAAGGATCAGTAACTAAATTTTTTCTATACAAATGTTCATTCAGACCACTGCTCTCAGTTCTAATTCTAGTGTACAAAATTTGTCCTAGTCTACTACCACTATAAAAATATTTTGGGACAACCCAACAATTTTGTTTCTTCTATTACATTACAGAATTACATTCTACAGTAGCAATTGTTTATTTTATTATTTATTAAATACATATGTATTTTTAAAAGGCATTACCAGTCTTTCAGATTAGAAATGCATTTATTTGTAGTAAAATAGATTTAGGAATCGAAGTGTCAACATTAGAAAAAACTTTAGACAGTGCCCAGTAAAAGGTAGTTTACTAGACTTAAGGTATAACTTTTACTAGTTAACAAAGACTGATTTATTTTTAGAAAAAGAATTCATGATTAATAAATTGAAAAGGATCTCAGAAATGTTTTAAGACTAGACATGATCTTGACATTGATCACATTCTTTAAAATTTTTATTTGTGACTTAATAATATAAGATATAAGATCATCACCAGGAGTTAATTTTCCCAAAATTTAGATTAAACAAGGATTTTAAAAGATAAAGGACTGAAATAAAAATTTTGCTTGTCATTAGAATTCAGGGATTTAAATCTTACTAGACCTATTCATTTTCTGTTGGACTGAAGATAGGACAATATCAATTCAAAACCTAATGTTTTTGGAGTAAAAACCCAAATCCAGGGTTAAGTTCAACAACTATAAAAAGAAGTATTTTATAAAATATGGTAGACTTATACAGAAATTTTTTTTTGAGCATGATGATTTGATATGAACACTAAGAGAAGTACAAATGTGTATAATGGCATGTACAAATATTCAAATATTCTGGGTTTTTTTATATGCATTTTTTTATTGTACATTATACTTATTTCTTGAATAGTTATGTTACCTATACATGTACTGTAATGAATATCATCCTGTTTTTCTTCTTCTGTGAACAAAGGAAAATTAAAACTGTTTATAGATCAGTTAAGTTACACTTAGACAGTTTTATGCATATTATGTAGTATCATCATTGTATGTCCTTATGAGGTTTAATCTCAGTTTTAACTTTTTTAAATCATTTATAAATTTTATGACACTTTATGATGAGTTATACTTAATATATAATGTTATCAAAATAATTCTATTTTTTAGGGGTACAATGAATGGCTTTGATGTTGACAAGAGTTATCTCCCATGCTAAAATTATTTAAATTTTTATAAGCTTTTTCATTTATGTTGAATAATAACACTTGGACCAAAATAAGCACAATTCGGTATGTGTTTTAAAGACCAAACTATTCTATGAACTTGTATTTGTATCAGTAGGAGAAAAAACAAAATCATAGTTTTGTTTTATTTGAAGGTTAAGCTTTCTCACGTTAATAAAAGAGTGAATGGAAGGACAAAATATATAACATGACTCCAGTAATATTTGATGTTTTATAAACTTCCAAAACAACATTAGAATATTTTGATAAAATGTCTATAGAGAGATCGGACTTGTCATGTCTTAACATGTCCAGGATTCTGGAAATGGTAATTTCAAATGTGGCACTGATTCCTTGACAAAAAATTTCTCCTATAAACAAATACATTAAAATCACTTTAAAAAATTAAAGATAATGCTAATAATAAATAAATCCTTTTCAAATATCATGACATATACCCTCACATTATCAAAAGGGTAAGTGTCCAGAATTAAACACTTGGGGCATGGGAGGCACTTTTTTAAGACCCCAACCAACCATAATATAAAACTTTCTTTCAAAATATTAAGGAAGATGCAACCACCCATAATTTATTAATTTGAGTACCTCCATGATAAATTTTAGAATAACCTTAATTAGAATTTTCTAGGAAAATTATGATTATGGAAAGAAATGCCACATGTTTAGAGAAATTCATTTTCTAGTTAAATTTCTATGGGCAGATAATGGTATAAATAATATATGTCTTCTGCATTAAATGCAAATTTTTGTTTGTTCAATAATAAAACATAAAATGTATTTTTAACTGTTAAAAGTTTTATTTCTCCTCATCTTTAATGTCAACCATGATCAAATTTATACGTCCAGTTTTCTACAATTAACTTATATATTTTACATATCATACATATATAAATTTTATTATCTATGCAAATTTTAAAAAGATATGTTTATACATTTTTTTAGAAAACAAATATTTTTGTTTTGTTCATTCCAGAACAGATTTATCCTCCATGTTGTGAATTGTTTTGTCAAATTGTTATCTGCCAATTTAGTTTTTGTATAAACAGATTTTTCATATGCAAAAAAAACAAAAATGAAATAAAAAAGATATGACAAACCGTCTTAATACTTCTTTTATCTGTTCAGTGGATAAATTGGTAATAGATACATGTGTATGCTTTGAAGTTCCTATCTGGATATAATGACCTAGAGTACAAGAACAAAATATATTTTCTATTGTCAAAGTAAATAAGAAGCAAAAGTAGTTTACCAAAACTCAAAATTTGAAAATTCATTTAAAATATACCAACCAGGAGAAAATAACTGAGGGAAATCACATGAACTCCAAATGGAGATACATGTAACATATCATGTGCATCTGCTATTATGGAATTGTTTGAAGAATTTTTTCACATTTTTCCTGACTTTGAAACTTAGTTATTTTCCAGCAAAATTCTTCCCCTTCATGTCATTGCAACTCCATTGTAAACATTTTACGTTCAGTAGTCACAAATATTGCAACCCGCCCATTTGAGACTTTAATCGTAAAATATTACAAAAGTACCATATGTACATAAGCTGAGAGCCAACCGTTTTATATGATGGATAATGTTAGTTTTTGTTTTAGTGTTTTTATCCTCCAGACAATTTATGTCAAATGATGGTGCCAATATTCACATACAGTGAGGTTTTGGGATAGTAATAGCCAGACAAATATTTCCTGACCAAATTTCAGCCAATGTCAGTCTATTCATAGCTGTTATAACCTTGACCTTTGAGTTATTGACCTTAAATTAATTTGCTGTCTTTCTCTTCAGAAGTAGCATTACCCATGCAAGTTTTGAAAAAAAAACTATTTCTGGCTCATAAGATATTGTTCAGAAACAAAACTCTACCAAAATTTGTTCTCTTCCCAAAGTACTTTATCAAACTATTTTTTTTAATGATGATTAACTATGTATTATCAGAAAACAAAAAATTTGCCCAGGTACAGTCTACTTAATGGCTGCTGTGAAATAGATTTTTGACCATGACCTCAAAATGTATTTATACACCACCTCTGTTCTCTTGGTAGTGTGCATGATCACCTTGAGTGTTGGAGGTTGTGGGTTTGATCCCCGGCTTGGTAAAACAAAAGATTTTAAGATTAGAATTTGCTGCTTCTCCACTAAGCACGAAGGCATTAAGGAGTAAGAGCAGACTGGTAGGCTAGGAGTCTGTATAATGTGTCCGAGTAGGGTGTCATGTCTCCCTGCAGACTGTTAACTTGTGAACTAGCACGTTCAAAATCCAGCTCACTGTGTTCGTCCAGTATAAAGAAGAGTTCATATTCATATCGCATTAATATGTTCTAATCCTATGCATTTAAATTGCTGCTGGACATTAAACAGTCATCCATCATCATCAAAATAAATAGGGTCTTTTCCAGCCAAAGGTGCATCATCCACCTACAATTGTAAAGATCTGAATTATAGCTCAAAGACTGATGTCTGGAAACAGGATGAGTCTATTATTTGACTTGACCTGGGAACTTCTGACCAAAAAAAATAAGAGGTGTTGTTCATTCCAAAGAGCATTTTCAATCTAAATTTTAGTGAATGTTGGACATACTTTTCTAAAAATTTCCTCTTGAAATCAAATTTTGACCCAATTTCAGTCTACCAATGCTGCTGTTCGATCCTGACTTAGTGTATGTCTCTGGTATCACCATAGAATAAATATAGCTAGATATTTTTTCACATATGTCTGGATATGTCTGGTGATAACTAGAAAAAATTAAGGACGTAAGGGAGCTACTGTTTGATTTTTATGTGGGGCTAGGATGCATTTTTGTCGAGCCTTCGACTTTAGTCGAAAAAGCGAGACATAGCGATCCTACATTCCGTCGGCGTCGTCGTCGTCGTTGGCGGCGTCCACAAATATTCACTCTGTGGTTAAAGTTTTTGAAATTTTAATAACTTTCTTAAACTATCCTGGATTTCTTCCAAACTTGGACAGAAGCTTGTTTATGATCATAAGATAGTATCCAGAAGTAAATTTTGTAAAAATAAAATTCCATTTTTTCCGTATTTTACTTATAAATGGACTTAGTTTTTCTGCCGGGAAATATTACATTCACTCTGTGGTTAAAGTTTTTAAAATTTTAATTACTTTCTTAAACTATCCTGGGTTTGTACCAAACTTGGACAGAAGCTTGTTTACAATCATAAGATAGTATCTAGAAGTAAATTTTGTAAAAAAATAAATCCATTTTTTCCGTATTTTACCTTTAAATGGACTTAGATTTTCTGCCAGGAAACAACACATTCGCTCTGTGGTTAAAGTTTTTAAAATTTGAAAAACTTTCTTATACTACTTTGGATTTGTACCAAACTTGGACAGAAGCTTGTTTATGATCAAAAGCTAGTATCTAGAAGGATGTTTTGTAAAAAAATAAATCCATTTTTTCCGTATTTTACTTTTAAATGGACTTAAATTTTCTGCCAGGAAACAACACATTCACTCTGTGGTTAAAGTTTTTAAAATTTTAATAACTTTCTTATACTATTTTGAATTTGTACCAAACTTGGACAGAAGCTTGTTTATGATCAAATGCTAGTATCTAGAAGGAAATTTTGTTTTCTTCCAGTTAACATTACATTCAGTCTGCAGTTAAAGTTTTTAAACATTTATTAGATTCATAAACTATCCTGGATTTTTACCAAACTTGGACAGAAGCTTCTTACAATCAAAAGATAATATCAAGAGGAATATTTTTATTGATTTACTTCCTCATTTTTGTTGAGCCTGCGATTAACAGAAAAAGTAGGCGAGACACTGGGTTCCGCGGAACCCTTACAAATTTTTTTTTAGTTGTAATCTCTGTCCTGCCTTTTTATTTTTCACTCTATTCGGTCCTGCCTTTTTTTTATTAGTGTATCCTGACTTTTTTTACATAAACTGTCATCCTGCCTTTTTTATACGCCCGTCAAAATCTTCTGTCCGTCTGTCCATCTGTCTGTCTGTCTGTCCGGCGTAAACATGTGGCACCGTAACTTTAGAACGACTTATCCAAATTTCATGAAACTTAACATAGTTGTTTCTTATAATGGTCAAACGATCTGTATACTTTTTGGTGAATATAAGATTAAAACTTTTTGAGTTACGCGTATACGGGACTTAGTAACTAAAACAGGTGTGTGTTTTTTTTCACATGTCGCGCCGTATCTCAAAAACAATTTATGATTATTGCTTAAAACTTTACACACTTCTTAGTTATATTAATCTAAAGATCTGTATACTTTTTGGTGATGATTCAAAATTTTATTTTTGAGTTATTGAGTATTTTGTAAAAAAAGGGGAGGGGTTTTTCACATGTCGCGCCGTATCTCAAAAACGATTTATTATTATGGCTTAAAATTTTACACACTTCTTAGTTATATTAATCTTAAGATCTGTAAACTTTTTGGTTTTGATTCAAAATTTTATTGTACAGATATTGATTTTTTTTTTTTAAAAAGGGGGGTTTTCACATGTTGCGCTGTATCTCAAAAACGATTTATGATTATTGCTTAAAATTTTACAAACTTCTTAGTTATATTAATCTAAAGATCTGTATACTTTTTGGTTTTGATTCAAAATTTTATTTTAGAGATATTGAGTTTTTTGTAAAAAAAAAAGGGGGGGGGTTTTCGCATGTCACGCCGTATGTCAGAAACTATTTATGATTATTGCATAAAAATTCACACACAAGACGACGGGCGTATCATGCGCTCATGGCGCAGCTGTTTATTATTTTTTTTGCCAAGTTGCTCATCCTGCTTTTTTTTTTTACTCAAAACTCCTGTCCTGCCTTTTTTTTTCAAATTTCATCCTAGCCCCCATAAAAATCAAATGGTAGCTCCCTAATTGGTGTGTGATGCGAAGTTCGAAAAATGTTTAAAATTTATCAATAACGATAATACAGGCAGATAACATGGTCTTCAGTTGTTTTATATTAAATACCTTGTATTCCTGGTACTCTACAGTGCAGATCAATGCTGGGAACAGTATGTCAATATATATGTTCCTGATCAAAGGAAAATAATTTTTGGTAGCAGCAAAAATACAACATAAATATTCGGGGAAAAACAAACTTTAACATAGTCATACTCTTTTCAAATAATAAGCATAATATACAAGAGACTACAAAATAAAATAAAAATCATAGCGAATGGACCCAGGGCAAACAGGTATAAGGGCGAACTGACCCCGGGCGAACAGGTATTAGGGCGAACGGACCCGGATTCCTTTCACAGAATCACTTGAATTGCACATTTTAAAAAAATATATCTTCAAAATTTTAAATTGATAGACCTTAAATTTATGTAACCAAACAAAAACCTCAGATAAGGGGCTCATTTATTCTATGACTAATATGTTAACGTGTAACAGTCCCAGATTTATTGTAGACTGGGGACATATAATTCGGAATTGATATTCCGATTTCGGTTTAGAATAGTATAATAATTCCTAAAAGGGGAGGCTACCCATACGAACTTCCAAACAAGAACGAAAGGTAAGTGCGAAAGGTTTGAAGTATATATTTTAGAACAACTTCGGCACTGGAAGTTACATGATTCTATCCTAAATTGACGTAGGTTCTTGAATTAATTTACGTACATGACAAAAATTGTACATTGTAATGGTCTTGAATAGGATGTGAAACTTTTGTCGAAGTTCCGCATTCTTTCTAACAAATTTAAGTCAATGTTTACTTGTCATACATTTATGCAATATAACATGAACAAGAGTTGTATTGTTTTAATTATTTGTTATCGATTTTTTACACTTCCTAGCGACAAGTTGCAAATTTAAATGCATTTTAGAAATGAAAACAAAAAATTATGGCTGTGTTTACAAATCCTTGGTTTACACCTCAAAACTCACACAAGGCATAACGTGCAGTTGGAAAAGTTTTAAGGCCTAGCATCCACTTGATATGTCATATTAAAGTTAAATGCATTTTGTGTTTCAGGAAGGTAAAACATCTTGGATTTTTATGGGCTTTTTTTCATCACTGCAGTATTAAGCTGCGGAACCATAACTCATATGGCCCTTATGATATTTTTTGATTTTTGCTGACCAGCACAATAAGGTACGAGAGTTCCCAATAATAGTATAAAGTATAAATTAACTCGAGCAGGTTTACAGTTTATTTATACTTTATACTGTTATGGGGAACTCTCGTACCTTATATAGCTGTTCAATAACATTTGGAACATTTGTTGCAGAGAACCTGATTTAGAGTTGTTGCCCATACAACACTTCCATCAATTAATAATCAAAATACGACGACACAACGAGCAAAATTGATCCATTCAGTTGATAGACGTCGAATTATATTAAAAGTGCCGGCACTTTAAAAAGAGGAATGTTTGCAGAAACAAGTCATACCTACTGACCCAAAGGAAATTAAATATTTAATAAATTAGAATTGAGATTCCTCCTAGAATTTAATCTGGGACATAATATATATTGACGTGACTTGACACTTGACATCTATCAAATACATTGTCGGGTCATTTTATAATTACCGATATGATACTGAAACAGAGATATATGTCAAATGCCCGTCTTAATCCAAAGAAGATATTATCTTACGTAAACTCTACTAAACTACTGAACCGGAGATGTGTCAAATTACGTATACGTATTTGCTATTATTTGACGATAATATACGGCCCTACATTGCCAATTCGAAACAGTTTTAAAATAATGATTGGAAATTTTCTTATATTTTATAACAATAATGTAAAAAATAATCAATACCAAAACAATAAAATGAACAATTATAAACAAGGAATTATTTGAATCTGGAATAATTTTGAATTCTGGAAAATTGATTAGAAATGTATGATGAAAACTAACCCAACTAAATAGGGTTAGCCATGCGTGCATGGCTAAGGTTAATTTTACTTTCACTATCATTTCAGTATGAACTAACTAACCCCCCTTAGCCATGCGCGCATGGCTAACCCTATTTAGTTGGGTTAGTTTTCATCATATATTTCTCATCAATTTTCCAGAATTCAAAATTATTCCAGATTCAAATAATTCCTTGTTTATACAGAAACTAACGTTTTTAAAAGAGAAAATGGCAATTGCGATTATAACTTTCTTTCCATTTTGATTCTATTTTATCATTATAATGAAACAATAAAAAACAAACTTTCACTAAAAAGTGCTAAAACATGTAAAATGTGGGTTTTTTTATGAACAGATTATAAAAGAAGAAAAATCTCTGTATCTGTATATATATATACATCAAAAATAAATAATTTGAGCTGCGTCATAGAAATCGACCTCATGCAAGTGCACATATACATGTACATTGATAAGAGTTAGACTTTGATTGATTTTGGAACATTGAAATATGAAGTTAAAGATGAATGTTTGTCTGTTTTGTAGGGTTGTTATATCGCCTCAAATTCAAACATTTACAGACTTTGCATAGAGAATTTTTTCAACCCGAAATAAGTAAACAGATGTATTGATATGCATTTGCATAATGTTGATTTCTATCAGACTCAGCTCATTTCATTAAATATTATTTGTGTTGATCACAAATTATTTTCTCAGTAGAAAATTATTATTTTAATTATTTTACATTTGATTACTGATCAAAGGTACCTGTTGTACAAAAAATGTTGTAGCGGTTGGGGCATTAAGTTTTACCCTTGTCCGTCATATGTATGTACATACGTCCGTACGTCCCAAAATTGGTTTTCGTTCCCTAACTTGAGTTTGCCTCAACCAAATGTTATGAAACTTATACACAATGCTTATTACCACAAAACACAGATCAAGTTTGAATTTTGGTGGTGTCACTTTAACCGTTCTAGAGTTATGCCCCTTTATAAATGGAAAAATTGCAAAATTTTTAGTTTCCGTTCTCTTATTTAAGTTTGCCTCAACCAAATGTTATGAAACTTATACACAATGCTTATTACCACAAAACACAGATGAAGTATGAATTTGGTGGCGTCACTTTAACTGTTCTAGAGTTATGCCCCTTTATAAATGGAAAAATTGCAAAATTTTTAGTTTCCGCTTTTTAACTTTAGTTTGCCTCAACCAAATGTTATGAAACTTATACACAATGCTTATTACCACAAAACACATATCAAGTTTGAATTTTGGTGGTGTTACTTTAACCGTTCTAGAGTTATGCCCCTTTATAAATGGAAAAATTGCAAAATTTTTAGTTTCCGTTCTCTAACTTAAGTTTGCCTCAACCAAATGTTATGAAACTTACACACAATGCTTATTACTACAAAACACAGATCAAGTTTGAATTTTGGTGGCGTCACTTTTACTGTTCTAGAGTTATGCCCCTTTATAAATGGAAAAATTGCAAAATTTTTATTTTCTTCTAAATTTCAGGTAATTTTTATACGACCGCAAAAATTAAAAATTTTTTGGTCGTATATTGGTATGACGTTGGCGTCGTCGTCGTCGTTGTCGTCGTCGTCCGAAGACACATTGGTTTTCGCACTCTAACTTTAGTGTAAGTCAATGGATCTCCATGAAATTTTACCATAAGGTTCAAGACCACGAAAGGAAGGTTGGGATTGATTTTGGGGGTTATGGTACCAACAGTTAAGGAATTAGGGGCCAAAAAGGGGCCAAAAATAAGCATTTTTGTAACTTCCAGACAATAACTTGTGTGTAAGTGTATGGATCTCTCTGACATTGTACCACAAGGTTCCATATCACAAAGGGAAGGCTGTAATTGATTTTGGGGGTAATTGCCTCAAAATTTTAGGAATTAGGGGCCAAAAAAGGGGCAAAAAACAAGCATTTTTCTAGTTTCATGACAATAACTTGTGTGTAAGTGTTTGGATATTTCTGAAATTGTACTACAAGGTTCCATATCACAAAGGGAAAGCTGGAATTGAGTTTGGGGGTAATTGCCCGAAACGTTTAGGAATTGGGGGCCAAAAAGGGGCCAAAAATAAGCATTTTTTCTAGTTTGCAGACAATAACTTGTGTTCAAGTGTATGGATCTCTCTGAAATTGTACTGCAAGGTACCATACCACAAAGGGAAGGCTGGGATTGAGTTTGGGGGTGATGAATCATAAGGGGTTCAAAAAATTTTGGGGGGGGGATTTTTTTTTTTTTTCTTTTTTTTTCTTTTTTTCCTTTTTTTTTTCTTTTAAAATTTTCCATTTTAAGTTGGTTATTTCTGATTTATATTTAAAAGCAAATAATAATGATATGGTAGGAGATACACACCAAACAGGATGTGTAAATTATTATATAATAAGTATTGTGCAATAGCAAGAAATTTTCAATTGCACAGTATTGCACAATAGCAAGAAATCTTCAATTGCACAGTATTGCGCAATAGCAAGAAATCTTCAATTGCACAGTATTGCACAATAGCAAGAAATATCCAATAGCACAATATTGCGCAATAGCAAGAAATTGTCAATTGTACAGTATTGCGCAATAGCAAGAAATATTCAATTGCACAGTATTGCGCAAAAGAAGATACTTCGTATAAATTGCTTATTTCTTGATCAATTTCAATGGGGTTTTATTCTTGAATTCTTGGGGTTCTTTAATATGCTGAATCTAACCGTGTATTAAGTTTTTGGATTTTGGGCCCCATTTTTAAATTGGTCCACATTGAGGTCCAAAGGGTCCAAAATTTAACTTTGTTTGATTTCATCAAAAATTTAATTATTGGGGTTCTTTGATATGCCGAATCTAACCGTGTATTTAGATCCTTAACTTTTGGTTCCGTTTTCAAATTGGTCTACATTCAGGTCCAAAGGGTCCAAAATTAAACTTAGTTTGATTTTAACAAAAATTGAATTTTTAGGGTTCTTTGATATGCTGAATCTAAACATGTGTATTTAGATTTTTGATTATGGGCCCAGTTTTCAAGTTGGTCCAATCGGGGTCCAAAATTAAACTTTGTTTGATTTCAACAAAAATTGAATATATGGGGTTCTTTGATATGCTGAATCTAACCATGTATTTAGATTTTTGATTTTTGGGCCCCGTTATCAACTTTGTCCATATTGAGGTCAAAAGGGTCAAAAATTAAACTTTGTTTGATTTCATCAAAAATTGAATTCTTGGGGTTCTTTGATATGCTGAATCTAACCATGTATTTAGATTTTGGATATTGGACCATAATAGGTGAATGTCCAATTTAAAATTTTTAAGTTCTTAGACCACATTCATTCTGTGTCAGAAACCTATGCTGTGTCAAATATTTAATCACAATCCAAATTCAGAGCTGTATCAAGCTTGAATGTTGTGTCCATACTTCAGACATGTGACAGAGTTGTCAAGCCACAACTGGAGATTTGGAAATTTTCAGCTGGAGTATGGGCTTCATAACTGGAGATTTTTTATCGACCTATTTATCGACGTACGCAATGGTTTTTTGTGTGTTTAAACTGCATATCTTCTTTTTTGTTTGTTAAAAGAACAATAATTCCATACCTTTCAACAACTCCATATCCATTTTTACTTGATAAAAATAGAAGATAAGGGGTTTC